TATTTTCCTTATTTAATAATTACATATTAATTTGGTAAATGGTAATTATATTACGGTTTAATATTGCCATATTAATATTACCTTAATTAATATTATATATTATTTTGACAAATGGTAAATATATAGTAATTGCTTGTTTTTGGAATATTGAATGCCGTTTAGTTTCCTCTTAATTTTGGCATTATATTCATAATTAAATTATTATTCAATTATGGAGAAATATTAAGTTGTAAATTTACTATTTGAATTTTAATTTAATATTGAGGTACATATTAAATTTCCTTTAAGTATTGCAATTTATTTAGGATATATGGGTTAATAATAATATATTAATGTGTATAATCCAAGCATGTTGTATATATTTATCAAATAATTATATTTTTATTATAATTATACATCCATAAAAGCATGCATTAAGGTTGGATTTAGTATATTATTAACTCATAGTCTTTATATTAAATATCATTCAATTTTGGATCCTTAGGCTAATTTTGGACATTATAGCCTATTAAAACAACTTGTTTGGTTTCTCATTTAATATAATTTTGAGCATATTTTAGTCCTATTTTTCACTTGGGACTTTAAAACATATTCTGAACAAGTTATTTGGGACCTATCTCGAGTCATTAAAGTATGGATCCCACCAATATTGGTTGTATTTTTAATAATAATTATAGCTTTTTTTATTTGACTTTTAACATGTGTATTAAGTTTTAATTGTTACTGACTACCATATTTTGGTATTCATCGCTGGTGATAATATTAAGTTTTGAGTCTATTTTAGTACTAGACCATTTTCCATCCATGTTATAACTCACTTAGGCCATTGAGGTTTATGAGCCTAATTTGAAGGATTAAATGCTATAATTATTGTCTTGGCCCATTTTGAGTCATTAAGGGTGTTGGTTTTAGTGTTTTACGGCCTTCGGATGCCGCTCGGCGGGCCAACACTACCGTAAAATACTTAAAATGCTTGTATCCGTGAAAGACTAGCGTAATTGAGAGAATAATGTCGTATTATTTCTCTAGGGTTTCGGCCGCTTGAATGCTAGAGAGCCTTACATAGTGATCCCGTGAGGATATTTATACAAGAGTACAAGATCTATACAAGGAAAGTAGGGTTGACGCAGAGCCAAGATCTTCAAGGAAAATAGGGCTGACGTAGAGCCAAAATCTACCAGGAAAGTAGGGCTGACATAGAGCCAAACTAGTTAAGGAATCCAGCTTGCTTAATACGACCATAACTGTCTAAGCTAATAAAGGAAGTTACTTGTATTGAATGGGGAAAGAGATCTCCATGAAATCTGCTTGTAACCACCTCTGGGCGAGCACCCAGCCGGGGACACCCTGACTGCCAAGGAGATGGCTTGAGGGGGCCACGATACTCGGGCGAGGACACCCCGACCGCAGAGCCTGGTCGTCCATCTGAATCCTAATAGGGCATTCAGTCGGGGACACGCCGACTATCGGGACTGGTTGCCTAACCGTGTCTCATGTACGAACCTAGCCGAGGACACACCAGCTATCGAGCATGGTCGCTTTACCCTAGCCGGCCGATCTCCGCTTGGGTAGGTGTCTGTCCTTGTGGATGGCTGGCCGCTATCTCCAGGCGCCTCATATGGCGAACGAGAACCATGAATGCCGTCCCACTTGCCAAGTGTCAAACCGTGCCCGAACCTGGCTACCTTGCCTCACACGCCTGACCGAGTGTCTGATTTGGGGTATCTATCAAAGTGTTTAAGGATAGATTATAATTACCATTTGAAGCGATTAAGAATTATAATTATTTTTTTGGCCATTAAGAATTATAACTATTATTTAGGGTGTGTTTGGTTCGCACATGGGAATCGGAATCGGAATGGGTATCAAATACTTGGTAATGGTAATGGGTTTTGGTGAAAGTATTTAACATGTTTGGTAGTAGAGTGGAATGAGAATGGTTACTAATAGTAGTGCTTGAGAATGAATAAGGGAATGAAACCCTTATTGTATTTGGGTATGGGTTTTTCAATTGATGGGGTATTCGAAACCCATAGTAGTGTTTTAAAAACCTATCAACCAAACAACAACAATCACTTTCATACCCATTCCTTTAGGCAAAACCCACCAACTAAACACACCCTTAAGTTGATTATGTTTTAATCTATCAATAGTTTTTAGAGCCTTAATAATAATATTAAGCTTATGGCAAGCAATGTACGTAGTTGATGTATTGCCTTTACATTGGTAATCTGGTTATTACCTTAATTTCAGTCCCCCTATGACTCATTATAGTCTCAATTAATTATTATGTAGTGAACTAAGATTTGCATTTGACATTTTCTTAATTACAGCCTTGCCTTTATTATAGTTATTGGCTTCATTAATTATTGTAATTAAGCTTTGGGCGAATCTCGTTTACTGCCTTTCGTAATAATTATTTGATAATTTATTAAGTGTTACCAATAAACTGTTATGTACCGTTGGACGATTCATTAAGGTTGCTAGCATCGACGGGTCAACTAAACCCTCCTCGAAGATGGAGAATCTTGGAGGCTTTCCTTGCTATCGGTGTTAGTGCTATGGTGTAACCACCCTGCTTTTCTAAAACTAAATCCCAATTACTTTAACTCTAAACAAAATATAAAGTAATACCAATTAACTTAAATTCAACCAAAACCAACCAAACGGGTGTCACTGCACACGATAACTTTAATTCGCGTTCGCACACACTTAATCTAATATAGACCATTAAAAAATATTAGATGGATGCACACGATTTTTCTCAGGTTCTCACCTAAGCAAGTGTTCTCATATGATCCTATATATATATATATATATATATATATATATATATATATATATATATATATATATATATATATATATATATATATGGTTGAGTTCAAATGAGGACAACAATATATAGAGGACTGTGAGGATAAATAATGGGCACACAACAAATCAATATCAGGCACACAATTTAATACATAATGGCACACAGGAATACATGTAAACATCAGGTTTCGAACCCAGGCTCTATTAATTAACAAATCTATGCGCGCAACATACAAACTGTGGCACACGACTACATTCGGCCATGCACACAACATACAGGCTAATGGCACACACTACATCCGTCCTCACAGTCCTCTATAATATACTTGTCCTCATTTGAACGCAAGTCTCTCTCTCTCTCTCTCTCTCTCTCTCTATATATATATATATATATATATATATATATATATATATATATATATATACTAATAAGAGGCCAAGAGAGTTAGGCCTATAATGGGTAGAAAAAATGGCGGTCAAATTTTTTAATCAAATGAATGGCTAAGATTGATCAGATTTTAATTTTTCTTAAGATTTCCTAATTTATCCTTAATGAATATGATTATCCGTTAACTTTTCCGTTAAATATTATATTTTTCGTTAATTTCTGTTAGTTCACCGTTAACTTACTCATTGATTTCAATAAGAAAGGTCTTAGGTTCGAACCTCATCCCAATCAAAGTTGGCATAATTAGTACTCTATTTTACTCTTATTAAATTATAAATAATAATTTAGTAGCAACAACAAAAAATAATACATATGCATTTCTTTAATTTAGAATTATGTGTCTACAATGTCTTTATTTTGAAAAAATTATTCGTTATCAATAAATTAAATAAAAATAATAATTTCATTAGTTATATTGTATTTATTTTTCTCCAATATAAAAATTATTTACATTCAAATTCATCAATCGATTATATTCGCTACATTGTCCCTACAGTGTCTTTATTAAAAAAAATTATTCATTATCAATAAATTAATTAAGAGATATAATTTTATTATTTATATTGTCTTTATAATTCTCCAATGTAAAAATTCTTTACATTCAAATTCATCAATTGATTATATTCACTACATTGTCTATTATTTTTTTGTGCACTATTTTTTTTATTAAATATCAAAATAATAATACAAAATAATGTTATATATTTATTTACCAAGTATTTTATTAATACCATGAAAAAATTAAAATAATATATAATTAATAAAGCCAATCATATTAACTACTTGAGAGATTCGTTGACAAAGACAGTATTCGATCAAATCACACAATAAATTGAAGTGAGAACTACTTCGCACTGTCCTTGTTTGACAATCAGCAGTTAGCGGATTATATTAGCGAATTTGACCAGCGAATTATATCAACGGTTGTTAAAAAGATACTTTAATAATAATAATAATAATAATAATAATAATAATAATAATAATAATAATAATAATAATAATAATAATAATAATAATAATAATAATAACAATAACAATAACAATAACAATAACAATAACAATAACAATAACAACAATAATAATAGTAATAGTAATAATAATAATAATAATAATAATAATAATAATAATAATAATAATAATAATAATAATAATAATAATAACAATAATAATAACAATAATAATAATAATTGTTTTGAAAAAATAAAAAAATATAATTAAGCCAATCATATTAACTATTGGGGGATTTATTGCCGAAAAGAGTATTCAAATCACACAAAAAATTTAAGTGAAAAACTATCTCGCAATGTCCTTGTTTGATAATCAGCACTTCAATATTAGTATATATTTAATATTTTATGGTCTAATTTTTATTTGCTCTCCCTTATGTCCCGTATTTGGTTTCAACCATACCTATACAATTATTTTATTAACAATTATAATCAATCTTGACTATATTATCTTGCATTTGTAAACTTAGAATTGCCTATTTAAATACGCAAATTTAACATTCAATTATCTATGCATGAACAATTCCAATATAATATAATCTTGCATTGAAATACTTTAAAACTTATTTAAAAAAGAAAACACCGGGCATTATCTCAATCGCGCAATGCGCGTAAAAAACTAGTATATATATAGGGTTGAGACTAACTCTATGACTACACAATTACATCATATGTTACATATAATTAAATAACAATAATAATAGTAACACTAACACACCCCCTCAAGCTCAAGGTTGGTGCTCTACAACATTGAGCTTGTCTCGTAAAGTTGTAAACCAGGGCCCAGGTAGAGGTTTGGTGAAGACGTCGGCTAGCTGATCCTTGGTTGATACAAAACTAACCACAAAATCCCCTGAAGCTACCTTGTCTCGAACGAAATGATAGTCAATCTCAACGTGCTTCGTCTGAGCGTGGAACATTGGATTGGCGCAGAAATAGGTGGCCCCTAAGTTGTCACACCATAGGCTTGCAGGCTGTTCTGTATGGAGACCGAGTTCACGTAACAACGAGACAACCCAGGTGACTTCTGCTGCAACATCGGCTAGAGCTTGATACTCAGCTTCAGTGGAGGACCGGGCGACGGTGCGCTGCTTCCGGGAGAGCCAAGAAATGAGATTGCCCCCAAGAAAAACAGCATAGCCACTGGTACTCTTCCTGTCCACCGGACAGCCAACCCAGTCGGAGTCCGAATAGGCGTGTATGGTGCGAGTAGGAAAGGAATCAAGGCAGAGCCCATAGTGTAGCGTGCCCTTGATATACCGTAACACACGCTTCACCGTGGCCCAGTGATCGTCGGTAGGAGTGTGCATAAACTGACAGAGCCTGTTGACAGCGTAGGAAAGATCCGGCCGAGTGATTGTCAGATACTGTAAGGCTCCAACTATGCGACGATACTGTGTTGGATTCTCAAACGGTTGATCAGACGGTGTAACCGGTTGAGTGACGGAGGAGGCATGTGTTGCTAGGGGTTTGCAGTCAGTCATCCCATCGCGACTTAGTACGTTAACCATGTAGCGGCGTTGAGAAAGAACCATGCCATCACCTGAGCTAACTGTCTCGATGCCTAGGAAGAACCCTGGTGTGCCCAGATCACGGATTTTGAATGTGGAAGCTAGACGACCAAGCAGAGAGTTGACAAGCGTAGTGTTACTGCCCATCATTATGATTTCATCAACATATACAAGTAAGAACACTTTGGACCCTTCTGTGGTGTGGCAGAACAACGAGACATCAGTTTTAGATGAATAAAAACCTGCAGATAGTAAATAATCATGGAGCCTCTTAAACCACGCCCTCGGAGCCTGTTTGAGCCCATAGAGTGAACGTTGCAAGAGACAGACATGTCCGGGATGTGCCGGATCTTCGTATCCTGGTGGCTGTTTCATATCAACTGTTTCGGCTAAGTGGCCGTTCAGAAAGGCGTTGTGAACATCCAACTAACGCAGTGTCCAATTGTTTGACACAGCCAACGAAAACAGAATATGGACTGTAGTGGGCTTGACTACTGGACTGAAAGTGTCAAAGAAGTCTTCGCCCGCAACTTGATTAAAACCTTTGGCTACTAAGCGAGCCTTGTAGCGGTCAATCGAGCCGTCTGCGGTGCGTTTGGTGCGAAAACCCCATTTACACCCAATGATGTTCATGGTAGGGTCCGGTGGGACCAAACACCAAGTATCGTTATGAAGCAGAGCGTTAAACTCTAGATCCATAGCATCACGCCATTGTGGATGTCCCACAGCTTGGGAGTAGCATGTTGGATCAGTCGTTGCTGTTAGGGCCTGGAAATCTTCATTTTGACCCCGAGTCATATGCCGAAGCCGCATGACATGATCACGGTCCTGAGGCTGCCGTCGGGTGGTCCGCTTTCGTGCCCGAGTCGGAGCAGCGGGCTCAATGGCCAAGTGTGGCACTTCTTGAGCTAGAGGCATAGGCTGAGGAGCCGGTATAGAGCCTGGATTGGGAGCAAGCAGTTGTGTCAGCATAGTTATAACAGGTGCAGAGGCCCATGGTTGTTGAGCAGGTGGTGATTGGTTCTGCTGTGTTATACCTGTTTCAAAAGGAAAAATATTCTCGTCAAACCGCACATGGCGGCAGATGTAGGTTTTCCCACTGACTGGATCCATGCATCTGTATCCCCTATAGGATGGTGGGTAACCTAGGAAGACACAAGGGGTGGAACGATACTCCATCTTGTGCCGATTATAAGGCCTAAGATGAGGGTAGCATTGACACCCGAAGACCCGTAGAAATTAATATGGGGGTATTTTGTTATATAGACGGGAGTAAGGACTTTGAAACTGTAAGACTGGTGTAGGAAGATAATTGATTAGACAGGTGGCAGTCTCGAAAGCGTAGTCCCAATATTGATGCGGGACAGAGCTTTGAGCGAGAAGAGCTAAGCCCGTTTCGACAATGTGTTTGTTACGGCGCTCAACTCTTCCATTTTGTTCATGTGTGTAGGCACATGACTGCCGGTGATTAATGCCCAAGGACTGAAACATGACATGTAACTTGCGGTATTCACCCCCTAAGTCTGATTGAATAGACTTGATAGAGCGCGAAAATTGCCGCTCTACCAACACACGAAACGAGTCAAATATTTTATAGATATATGATTTTACACTTAATGGATAAAACCAGGTGAAACGCGTGAAATCATCAACAAATAAGAGAAAATAATATGAGCCACTAGATGACACTACAGGAGCAGGGCCCCAGATATCGGTATATAGGAGATCTAGTACATTATGGCTACTATTATCAACCCTATCTAATTTGAAACGAGCGGATTTGCCGAGATGGCATGCTGAGCACGACCCCATATCTTTGACATTATTCGGCTGAACTGGGCAGTTTTGGAGAACTTTATTTTGAACTAGACTGTGTTGGTGACCAAGTCTGCGATGCCATATCGCCGGTGTAGCACGGGAAGTGACAAACGCGAACTGACTCCGAGACACAGGTAGCTTGTAGAGACCACTTGAGGTTGGACCCTTAAGAAGAGTTGCCTTGGTTTTGGAATCCTTCACAAAGAAACAACTATCATGAAATTCAAAGAAAACCCCATTATCAATAGCAAATTTTTGTACAGATAATAGTGGTACGGTTAATTTAGGGACATGTAACACATTAGACATAAACAATTGTTTTGATACGGATGGGATAGATGCATGGCCAATTCGTGAGATGGCCAACCCTGTACCATTTCCAACCCGGAGCGTGTCCGAGTCTCCATAATCCTCCGAGTTTCTTAACATGCCCGCATCCGTTGGGGGATTGGATGCCGCGCGGCACATCACCTGAAACTGCAACATTAGTTTGCACGGGTGGTTGGGTCGAGTACCGCTTGTAGCAGTATACGGCTGTGTGTCTGTGGGAACGACAAATCTGGCACCTAGGAGCGCCACGCCCGCCACGTCCATTTCTGCCCTGCTGATTGTTACGGCCACCACGACCACCTCTGCGTCCGGAGTCACCATGGTGGTTGCCACTGCCTCCGCGCCCCCGGCCGGGGTACAGCGCGGTATGCAGTCCAGCAGCGCCGCCTACGGAAGCTGCAGGGTAGTCGTCTGCCAAGATGAAGTCCGCGGCCTGCAGGTAATTCGCCATCTGCGGAAGGCTCACTGGCGTGTTGGCAGTCAGGAGGCGGCGTAGGTCCGGTATTCCGGACGAAGACCGCGGAGAACGTACAACGTCTATTAGGAAAGGGAGAGCGGTTGTCCAGCCTGTGCAAGCGCCTCGACCAGCAGCTCGGCTCTACCAAGGTAATCTGCCGGCGATGAGTTCCCTTGTCGGAGGGACTGAAATTGTCCGAGTAAGCTCAGACATCGCGCCTGTGTGTTGGAGCCGAGCGCCGTGCGGATTGAATGCCACACCTCGGCAGCGGTGTTCCGGACAACCGCAAGGTGAAGGACCTCGTCGGACATCGACGAGATAAGTAGGGAGAGCACCGATTGGTCTTGTTGAACCCACGCCATGTACGCCGGATTCGGGGTAGGGGCAGACGTGGTGGCGCCGAAGGTGGAGTCTGCAGCCGGAGCAGCCACGGTAGGCGGCGGACAGGGCGTGCTACCATCGACAAATCTAACAAGGTCTTGGCCACGTAGAAACGGGAGGAGCTGGGTACGCTAGAATAGAAAATTCCTCGATGTTAATTTTAAAGAGATGAAATGGTGGGCTCCCGTCAGTGAATTGGTGGTGCCGCTCGGGGAGGAACCACCGGCGGCGGACACCGTATGCTCGGAAGAGTGCTGCGACATGGCGGTGTGGGGGGTGATCGACGATGTTTTCCGGGATAAGAGTCGGGAGAAGGAAGCCGGAGGATCGTTGGTTTGGCTGATACCAGATAAGAGAGAGAATTAATGATTCAGTTACTTAGAAAGATGTTACAGGAGAGTATATGATAACACACCACTAAACACTCCTAACTAATAGACTAACTAACTGAGACTAATTCTATGACTACACAATTACATCATATGTTACATATAATTAAATAACAATAATAATAGTAACACTAACAGAGTTGACATGAGGACAACAATATATAGAGGACTGTGCGGACAAATATTGGGCACACAATAAATTAATACCAGGCACACAATTTAATACAAAATGGCACATTAGCATACATATAAACATCAGGTTTTGAACCCAGGCTCTATTAATTAACAAACCTATGTACGCGACATACAAACTATGACACACGACTACATTCGGCCATGCACACGACATCAGGCTAATGGAGTACACTCTCTCTCTCTCTCTCTCTCTCTCTCTCTCTATATATATATATATATATATATATATATATATATATATATATATATATATATATATATATATATATATATATATATATATATATATGGCCAGGTTCCTGTGAGAACAGGTCTTCCCGTGCGGTCAGTGCGGCATAGACCATTAGGTATGCATAAATGAACCACATAGTGTTCGAAAATACACCATTATGTGTGGTGTAATTTTTTTTTTTTTTTTTGTGGTGCATTTTTTTGGCATTTTATTCTGGTGTATTCTCGAACACTATATGATACATTTATGCTAATGGTGTATGCCGCACTGACCGCACGGAAAGACCTGCTCTCGCTGGAACCAAAAAGAACCAATATATATATAGGCGAGTTCAAGTGCGGCGGTGTCTTACGGTGCGGCGATTTCTTACGGTGCAACAACACCAATAGTTCAACAAATATGCACCATCAACGTTAGGAAAATACACCACAAAAACAGAGTAAACAGAACCCCGCATCACCAAACACACACCATTATGTGTGAGTAAAAACACCATACACTATTCGGAAATACACCATTGAGGGTGGTGAGTTATATGGTGTATTTTTTGAGTATGTTGTGTATTTTGTGATGTTTTATTGCATTTCAGTGTGGTGTGTTTTTCTTACTAGTGCATATTGTTAACACTGTTGGTGTATTCTGAAATTCCGCCGCACCGCCGCACGAGAAGACCCCGCCGCATTTGAACTTTATTATATATATATATATATATATATATATATATATATATATATATATATATATATATACTAGTTTTTTCGACGCGCTTTGCGCGAAAACTTGTGCCCAATCTTTAAATTTGGTTAGTAAATCATTTTGAAATAGATAAAATAAATTTGTAAAGTTCTTTTTTTCCTTAGTTGACGAAGTTTCATAAATATTCCCGTAAAGTTTATTTTGTTGATGTATTTGAAGTTTTCACAAAAAATACAAATTCATTGTGATGAATATATACAACTGTAATTTTAAGTAAGGGTACTCAACATTATATTACATCTATTTTTTCATTGTGTTATTTAGTTAACATGTATCTTCCATTATTTCCAATCTCACATAAAAGTATGTTGCTTACTGGACTTATAAGATTTCAAAATGAAAGTGGCAAATGTTGTAACTATTAGAGTGTAATTTATAGGCTTTGTTATTTGTTGAATTGATAACATCTAAAAATAAGTAATAGTAGTTGTTTTGTTTGAGAATACCATTTTTGTTACATGTAAAATGATGTATTTTATGAAGAAAGCACATTGATGTAAAGGTAATCGGGTATCACTATACTTGGGGAATTCGAATATATCCAACCAACGACCAAAGGGTTGTTGGCGTGTTTGATTGCAAAGCAAAGAATCAGAAATAAACAGACAAAAATGGCTTGGATTTGGAATCTTGTATTCCTCTAGCGCAGTGCAGTGGTGTCCTTTCCAGTACCACTTCCAGTGAAGGAAATGATGCCTTCTCTTTACTGCTACTACACGAAGAAGAACACGTACATTTATATTTGTCAATAAAATGAAATGTGTGGATCTATTTTAGCACATTCATTATCAACATCCAGGGAGGATAGACTGACACT